TATATATATATATATCCATATGTATATATATGTGGGGCTTCCACTTTGTTTCCATCACCCGATCATCAATCCATTCACTAACACTTCTAAGATCATAGATTTCTATCGGTGTACATAAAGGTCATACATTCTTGTTAAATATATCGATAAAATGATCAAACTACCTTAAAAAGGGTGTCGTTTGTATGAGGTTGCGACCTTAAACAATCCAATTAAGATGCACATCCAAATTTTATTATAAGATGTAATTTTAATGTAAAAAATTCTTAAGATGGCCTTACAGATTTTCAAACTCGAAATATGATTCAAATCAAGTAGATCTATAAACACTTGAATATCTTGAAAATGGATGATCGGCGTAATGTATTGCAAGATGCACTGTTTTTTAGACTCAAAAACTTTATTATTTCACATATTCATTTATCTCAGTATCAAGATGATCAATTAGAGGGTTTTTCAACAACAAAACAATCTTTTCCGATGAATTTTTAAGGTGCATCTTAATTCTACATTCTAAAGTTTCGGCCTCATATAAGCTTTTTCCCTTTTAAAAAAATCAAGTCGTTAAATCAACAGTTTTTATTTTATTACCGAACTACGTCGTTACATTTTAGAATCCTTATTTTAGAATCCTTTCATGTACCTAGGCTATAATTCTTTTAAAAAATACATAAAAGTATCATTGTTTAAGAATTTGACCCCACTTAGACCACGTGAGTTTTCAGAAGTAGTTGATTAGCCCACTCTGTCGAGCTTTTTAGGGCACTTGACCATTTCATCAAGGAAAAGGCTTATATAAGGTTGCTACACTAAATTGTAGAAAAAAGGCACGCCTTAAAAATCCATCGAGAGCAAAGTTATTTCGATGGTGAAAAACCCTCTCATTGATCATTTCAACCTCAAAATATATAAATGTAAAAATAAAAAATAAAAAAAATGAACTACCAAAAATAACACATCTTGTAATATATTATCTAAACCATCTATTTTTAATATTTTCATGTATTTGTAAATTTGCTTGATATCTATACCACTTTGAGTTTAAAATTTCATGAGGAGTTACGTCTTAACAGGTTAACACCTTATACAAACCACATGCTTTTATTAATATTTTTCTTAATATATTTTTCTCACTTTTTGACTCGTTTAGTAAATATCCCTAATACTTTGTGTCATTTAAAAACATATCCAATATTTCATATTTCATGTACATGCCCCACCTTTTTTATTTTTTTACTTTTTTTGAGAATGCACGTACATGTCCCACTTTTTTGAGACTGTATCTGGTATTTTAGGTTTAATTTTTTTTACATGTCAAATTAAGCTCAAATCTGAAATCTGAGACTCCATAATACTCACCATCTCACACTAACATAAATATGGGCAATGCTTCAATAAAAATAAAATGACCCAATCATCCTTACCAATTTTGAGGGCATTTTGAGTACTCTGATATTTATTTCAAATTATTTTTAAATTTTTTACTTGTGTGAAATGGTAAAAGTATGGACATCTAAAACTTTGAGCCTAATCCTACGTATGAAAGAATAAAACTAAAATGCAAGACAAGCTCTCAGACACGGTTTCTATGAGTCGATGTAGAAATAAATTACCTACTAAAAAATCTATTTTTGAGATAGATTTTTGGACCTACTTTTTTAGGACATGTAATCCCTAACATGGAGATCATGAATATAAAAAATAAAAATATTTATAAAACTAAAATAATAATTCCATTAAGAAAACATCTGGACTGTTAGTTTCAATTATTTATTTTTAAACGGACCACCTATTTACACCCATCTTTAATAAAGATGCTTTATACCTCGGGAACCACAAATGTAGAAATACAGTCCCGCCACAAAACAATTTTCTTAAATATAAAAGTTTGGGACACTTTTTAAATTTAAAAAATATTGAGGATATTACAAAAATTTCCCCAAAATCATCATGATCATGTTGCACCCCAGAGGAATGATCTGACTTGCAAGCGCATTATTGTCTCCCAGTTTTCTCAAGGTTCAACAAGCAAATGAAGACCTAAGATAAACCTAGGACATATATATTTTACATACAATTAATACATTCAGGTGTTCTAAAGATTCAACGTTCCCAAACGAGCAGGGCTATACAAAACTGGCCTTTCAATAGAGTATTCTAAGTGGGAAGAAAAACAAAAGAACAAAAAGCCGAAATTAACTGAAAACAAAATTCAAAGGCAAGTGTATCTATCATTTCGGGAATCAAGAAAATGTGGAAAACGACCGGGTATTTTTTTGGCGATTGGGGAGTGGAGGAAGTTGAGGATATTATTTATTGCAGGTCATCGGCAACTTGGGAGCTCCGAACACCCCAGAATGAACTCGGCTTAAGCCTTTTGTTGGTTGCAGTGAAAAGCCACCCCATGCTCGATTCACAAACACCGCAGTTTGCAATGGTCCATGCATATCTGCAAATCATAGATCCAGTCAAATACAAATTTTATATATACTAATTTCTTTTCTTTTTTTTATTTCCCTTTTGCTATTCAGATTTGTAAAGCTAGAAAAGAAAATGAAAACAATAGAAGAAGAAGAATAGAACCCTGTATATGACATTTAAAATTCCATTCTCAGGATGTTTCTGGATGAATAAGCAAAGTTTTCTGATTTTGCTATTCAGATTTGTAAAGCTAGAAAAGAAAATGAAAACAATAGAGGAAGAATAGAACCCTGTATATGACATTTAAAATTCCATTCTCAGGATGGTTCTGGATGAATAAGCAAAGTTTTCTGATTTTGGAGAGTGTATTATGAAAGAAATTTTTTCTCTAATTGATAACAAAAGCATCACCAATTCTGAGTTCCAGCCAAATAAGTCAAGAGAGTATTTGAATAAGAGAAAATATAGTTTTTCGAAAAAAAATAATAATAGTTCGAATTTTGAATGAGATCCAAGGGGCAACCATCAACCTATGCATGAGAGATAAAGGGTTGACACTTAAAAAATAAACAACTGACATTGGGATACTAGTCATATAAGTTGTCAACACCTGAAAAAAGCCATGAACACTATCGGAATTGTAGGTTTTGGCCATTGAATTGCTGGAGAAGATGATAAAGACATACATTGTTATGAATATCATGCATGAAAAGATACCGAGAGAGGAATACATAGATCCGGAAATTCCTTATAAATTTATTTTACATAGATCTTTAAATTCATAATAAATTTATCTGCATGAAAAATAATAGTTTCATGTTATTTCATATTACCTTTGGAAATTGAAATCATTCAAATGCAAAATTGAGCCCCACTTCAGTTAACCAAACAAAGGGATTAACATGGATATTTCTAATTACAAAAGTGATCCACCATTAAAGCAATCAATCTAAGAAGCCTGTAAGAGGAAATAGTGAGTCACAAAAAATTTATGCGTATAATTTGCCATTTCCTACAACAAAGACTATCCGAAAAAAAAAAAGGTTGCAATTTCTACATCTAGAACTAGTTGGCGCCGGAAATAGATCAAAGCATAATTTGGTCATTTTCTGAAATTCAGAAAGAGCAATCATTTGCATTAACATTATATGCAAATACTAGTTACCAAAAGGGGGGGAACAAAAAACAGTCAATCAGAAAAAGCATACCCAGGAAACCAGCTGTGCGTTGTGACTCGACCTCCATGCAGGGCTAGCCCGGTTGTGGTATTGAGGGTCATAATTTCATGCACGTAACCATATGGATTCACAAAGGCATTTAAAGGTCCATCACGAGACATCACTAACATGTTGCTACGCTTCGCAATCAGACTCTGCAAAGGAAAAACTGCGGCTTGAGGGTAACATATCCAAGGATTATAATACTAAAAATAGCATAACATCTAGATGGGACCCTGCATTTTACGAATAAAATAAAATGCTCAAAACTCGTGAAAAATTACCAGATGGTTCCTTCACAATTCTTTTGTGCTAGTTGGCAACCTGATTAATCAAAGGGTGGCATAATGATTATTGGACAAATATTTGAAAATAGAAGTCGTTTTTATTTGTTGCATTGAACTGTTTGTTATCAGAAAATTAAGGATTATTCGGAAGATAGCTCATCACTGGAAGATAGCTCATCACTGAGACGGTGATCTTTGATATCATTAGTTCGTTTTATTTTATGTTTTCTCCATCATTCTTTAATTCCATATTGAAAGGGCTTACAAGTTGCAAACCCACACCAGAGAGTTATAAAGGACTTTATTGGAAACAATTAAGCTGCCAGATTTCGCAATGATTTCACAAGTTCAATGCATAGTTAGTCATATGGATTATATGATCAAGGCCGTGTATTAGTTAGTCCACTATTGTTCATACTCCATATGATGAAAGGCTGGCTTAAGCTCATCTGGATGGGTTTCCAAGTGCTGATTATAGCACATAACCTTCACAAGCTGAGGGAGGCCACTTATCCAAGTATGTCCCTAGAAAGTTAAGCAGTGTGCACAAGCTTGTGTTTCTAACCCGCATTCTTCAATTTCTTTTTTATTCTTTGCATCAAGCCCATTCTTACCGGAGATCTCCTCTTAAGGACTACATTAAAAGACTATACTCCCAAGGTGTAGACTACACAATTCCCATTCAAAATGTTGTTCCAGCACTCCAAGTCCCACATTGTTTCTGCAAACCACATGCATCATGCTTCTAAAGGCCCAGATAACATATTCAAGATGCTGCCCTTGGTCTTCACCTAATACCTCAGGCTAGATCAGAGGTACTTTTAAAGGCATGTTTGGTTAGCATGAAAATATTTCCCGTGAAATATTTTCACGTGAAAAAATTCCCTCATGTGATGAATATTTTCACACCAATTAGCTGCCAAATGGTGTGAAAAGATGCAGTGTGACCAATTGGTGTAACAATATTCCCACACTAACCACATGAGGGAATTCTTTCACGTGAAAATATTTCCCGAAAAATATTTTCACACAAAACAAATGAGCCTTTAATATCTCTACTAGTATCAAAATTCCAACATTCATTGATATTTCTATAATACTCTCGAAAGAACTTTAAATTCCAAAACACTTTCGATACCATATCAACTCATCAACCCCATGCTAAGATGAAGGATAGGGTCACCAGGCATGCAATATATCACAGAAAAAGATTCGTACAAATACTCCTATGCGACTGTACCAGGTCCATGCAAGTTTGAAATCCCAAGCATGGACACTACACCTCAACTGAATGCCATGACATATCAAATGCTTGGAATCCCAATGAGTGACCACGGCGCAATCCGCATGGACGCAAACACTCTATAAGTGCTCCATGCAGATTGGAAGTAGTGAAAACTAAGAACTCAAGGGGAGTGTTAAACCTGATTAAGTTCCCCTCAATGTGATTTCCATGGTGAACAAGCAGCTCAAATAACCTTCTTTTACGTCCAAAGTAAGTTGTAAAGATCAAGCTCCCCAACCATTAAGCACTTCATAAACAAAATTATATTTGAGCTCTGCTCCTCTCATAAGAGTGTGGACTGCAATATCAGTTGCATGCACCATTGATCTCATATTATCACAACTCATTATGACCACACCATCAGTCCTCCCTCAAGCCATAATGATTCACTAACAGTATCCGATGCTGGCATGCACATTGGCGCCATGGGCTGGTAGAGCGTCCATCAGTTGTTTCTAGATGCACTGAGAAGGCAGCTTCTGTGACCAAGGAAGTCCAAGAGAACTGCTGACAAAGGATCGAGCACCCTTGGCACTGCTCCACTGAATATTAACATACTGATCATAACTTAATATCCTGACTTAAGACATAACAGCTTGAGCATTCCTTTCAAGAGAACTTCTGACAAAGGATGGAGCACCCTAGGCACTGCTCCACTGAATATTAACATACTGATCATAACTATATATCCTGACTTAAGACATAACAGCTTGATCATTCCTTGTTGATATTTTATAAAAACAAATATTTACAACAGTGAGCCTCTTCAAACATTGGTAAAGACATTTCGAGTAAAACCAAGAGACTCTAAAATAAAAGCTTAAATCTATGATACACTGGTAAGAATTAAGCTACACTAAAAGAACTATTCCACTGTAATCTTGAAAAGAAAAGAATGAGTGGCCACTAAGAGACTTACACAGAATTAATAAAAAAAATGAAGAATGATGCAAGGGAACCAACAGGAGAAACGTCATGCTCACCATTCTAATTTAAGAAATAGGTACCTTGCATGTTTTACAGTGAATGAGATCAAAGTGCTCGAGCAACTGTATTTCTCTTCTCAATCTATAAGAAATCCCATCAATCTCTAGAAGCTCTTGCCTCGTAGAATCTGATACAGGAATCTTACTAGCAATGTAAAACGACAAGAAATCAGGCTTTCTAACAAGATCATCCAGGCTTGGATTCCCTATGATCTGCTTCCACATATCTGCAAAATGGAAGTAACATTATGTGATGGATTATATTTATTGACGACTGTTGGTTTCAGATGACAAGTCATAGTTTGTTGCAGAATGGAACAGAGCAGTTCTTATGTTGTGCTCATCATCAAGCTCACAAATTTCTACCAAAGCAGGGACACCTCACAACCAAGTGCCGCATGGCATATTTGCCCCAACAAAGTGTATTTTACTCATTGTAAAAGGAAAATGTTCAATTCAAACAAAAGTCAGCCTCACAAGCACTGCGAAAAAGCATCAACTTGGTCAATGACATTAATGAGACTCATACTTCCACATTTTTATCTCATAGGCAAGGACAAGGTATAGCAAAATACAAAAGAAAATACCACAACTAAGTGTAAACAAGAATAACAATATTTGAACTTTAAACTAATAACAAGCATCACAATCCCTTATCTCATTACCTGCTGCCTTCCGAGCAAGAGAGTAGGAGTCATACATCTGGTAAACCCAAAGAGGCCAAAAGGATCTCTGACCTCTACTCAATTGCTTCAACCCATCAGTAGCATGGGCTTTTTGTAAAGACATCCATCCTCCATCACCAAAAGACTGGCTCCTTGTTACAGTATCCTCCATTATTTCCTGCTCAGAACTGTCACTTTCATTCACTTCTCCACTAAATTGATCTCCTTGAGACCCTTCAGAAGTTACAGGACAAGATATTGCTTTCCTATGCCACCACCTCAACGGGGAAGGCTCATCATCACTACTATGGGCTTCCTCGATTTTCCCATATTTGTTGGAATTAAATTTCAATTGATTTTTTATCCCATCTCTTGTGGAGTGATAACTCCCTGTGCTTGTATCTGATGCAGAACCCGAATCATTTTCCCCACTTTCATAGCCACGCCTTTTAGGAGAATGTTCATATACATGCCTTTTAGGGGAAGGTTCATATCCATTCCTTTTAGGGCAAGAAGCACCAGATCCACCATTCTGGAAATCACTAATCGATGCCAATTGTCCAAATGCATCCCTAGGAGTACGCAGAGGTGTATCTTCCTGGACAATCTGGACTTCAGCACAAGGCTGATTTAAAATGGGAAACAATGTATCAGAACTTGCATTGGGATGAAGCATTAGAAAATATAAACCGTAAAATAAGGAAGCAACATTTCTCACCGCTCCCTCAACATCAACCCAACTACGGCGCAGATTAAACCGCTGCTGGCCACGAGTAACCACATTTAATGAACCATCCTCTAATCGTTTGAATTGTCGAATCTGGAAGCATAAGTTATAAGATGTCAGCACAAAGTTCCCATCACTTACCCAAAAAAAAAATGATGGAAAAACTATGTAAAAAGTCCAAGATAATGTCATATTTAATTTTTTTCTCATTCATGACGATAACGTCATATGTTCATTTGTTTGTCATTCATAAACATTAGATGGAAATAATCCAAAAGGCAATTGAACCTCTTTAGATAACTATATTTACTTCACAATAGATATTTGATTATATTCAAATTTCAAAATTTTGACTGGCATTTCAATCTCAACTTTGCATAGCTTATAGCACACATGTACAGCTGCTACTACAATTTCATTAGGACAATCTTTGCTCTTTTTTATCGGTAGTTGTGTGTGTGTGTGTGTGAGAGAGAGAGAGAGGAGGGAGGGAGAGGGAGGGAGGGAGGGAGCACATTGTAGAGAGAGAGAGAGAGAGAGAGCGAGAACCATTTTCTGATTCACAATGAGCACTGGTCTCTAAAAGGCAATAATAAAACGAAAAATGACACAAGCAGACATACCCGTTTATCTTTGCACTACATTAATCCAATTCCAAACGTACCTCAGCAGTGGTCCCAATTGAACCAACACAAAGTCTTCCATTATAAGGATGCCTCTCGACACGGATCTGTTACATTTTTACATACAAATGTTATTGAGCATGAAAAAAAGACAAGGAAAAACCTGAAAATGGATGCAAAAAAACTGACAATTTGGAGAGAGAAACATACCACGCCTATAGTGAGAGGAGCATCAGTCTGTTGCAACGCTCTCTCCACAGCTGCTTTAAACCTGGGTTGAATGACTCTTAATGGCAGCGTAGCTTCTGGAAAAAGAACAATTCCTGATGCAAAAAGAAAACAACACCAGCATCAGAGGTCTTGTCAATCTAAGCAGAATTTGTAAGACAAAGGAATCATATACAAATTAAATGCATCAATTTTATAAGTGAAAGAAAGAAGTGGGCAAGGAGGATGAGCACATCTTAGATGGTATTCTAGTGAATATAGTAAGTTAGTACATTAAAAAATTTAAGGCGAACAGGAATTGAGAAATGTGTTTGCACTGAATAGAGACAAAATACTACGATTTAACGGTTTTACTATGATTTTTGTTCAAAATTTCTAGAAAATCATTAGGAAGACCCAGTGGAAGTATTTCATAAGTTCCACAAGAGAAGCCAGATTAATAAGGGACGAACACAAAGTTTGTCAGGGTGTTAACAAAGAATAAATGGGCTGAGGATATTTGTGAATTCTGGACCAAGAGTCTAGCAAGTAACATCCACGTGAATGTAGCCAAGATGCTATACTTCAGGCCAGTGTTTAAAAATCAGCGACTTGAGCTCAGACTTGCCCCACTCATTCGGACCTGGCAGTGTGCCAGGTCGGGATGAAGAAGCCTAAGATTTGGGGCGAGTCTAACTCGAGTCACAGAATTTAATTTACTTTTTATAGAGACTAGGCCAAGTAAGCCTCTGACTTGGGCCGGAACCTTCGCAAGTAGGTGTACAAGCAGGCTATGCCAAGGCTGACCCTTGTCCAGAGGACTCTGTCCTAGGCCCTGCCAGGGACTGGGTTATAGGTTTAATACTGGTGAGCCTGGACGTGGCCCGACCTGTTTAAAAAGGTCACAACCTGCGCCAAAATTAGAGGTTTATGCCAATAAACACACACCGTATGTCCTTTTCATGAGCTGCGCGAAATTATAAAATTAATGTGACTGTCATCACAAAAGAGGGGCAGTTGTAATGGGAACCCATGCATTTCTAGAAACATATGATAATTTCTTGAGGCTAGTTTTAGCCAACCATGTTTTGGGTGGCAGAACAAAAAAAATTGGCAGTAGTACTAAAAGATGGTGGGTAAATAGCCCCTAATGTTTTGAGAATATCCAAATTGTTCTTTTATCATTGGAATGTTATTTTGTTAGACCATACTGAGAGTCCGTTAAGCCTCATCCAATAGTCCTGGGTCAGGGCCTGGCCTGCCAAATGTATGGGCTCTAGATTTGGCGCGACCAGGTCAGACAGGCCTTAAATCCAACCCAGACAGGGCCAATGTTGAGCGAGCCTCGCCCACTTGCAGGACTACTGGCAATCTGAGCACACGTTCAGGGTTTTAACCTCTGCTTCACGCTTAAGGATAATTGCCGTATGTTGTCTCCTGATGCTAAGGGATTCTGTAAAGCGGACAGATCCAATGTTGTGCCTGGCTAGCTTAACAGTATTTGGTATCAGGCAAAAATATGCTGGTTTAAAGTTAGATATCAAGACGACTTTTGACTATGTGAACTAGGTTTCCTAGAAGAACATCTACTTGGAATCATCAATGGAGAAGATTGATCGCTGGTAAGTTACAAAATATATCCTCATTATGATATATGAAACTCTTAATGGCCTCTTTTAATGTTCTAGAGGCTCAAGGCAAAGGGACATCACTCTCACCTCAAATTGAAATCCTCAAGGCTTTTAACAAGGCAATTGTGAAGGTATGCACAAGGGCTTCAAGGTAGCACATGGAAATCCGGTGGCCACTCTTCTTTAGTTCACTAATTAATGCCCAAATGGTCTTTCATACTTCTGTTTCTCAAGTGGAAATTCAGATAATACTACTTACTACTTAGGGGAGAAAGCATGATGATATAGCCATAAGGGTATAGTTTGTCAACATATGCCCAAATGGTTTGAAATAACTCTGTTTCTCAAGTGAATAGTCAGATAACAGGACTTGGGGCAATTGCATGATGATACAGGTATCATACTGTTCAGTATTGCACCAGTGCCAGCAACCATCCACTGTGATGGCTGATTTCTTCCACTCAAGTTTGTCACATCACCTTGAGCAGAGAATTAGATGACAACATAGTGTGGTACAAGTATCATAGTATAAAATATTAAAATCCCAAAGGTGCTATGAGGCAGTTTTTGGGCAGAGAATGAACATGATAAAAAAACTACACCAAAATTGGAGTAGGGGATGGGTATCTAGCAACTATGCAATTGTCTTTTGGAACTATTCTGCATGATTGTATCTAATGCAAATGAAAAGCAAATTTCAGTGTGAGGTGGGGGATGGGGCCCAATAGCAACCCAGTAAGGCCCTCCTTTGCGCAACTTGAGGAAAAGCCATTCACACTTAGTCGGAAAATGCCTTAAGGGTTGTAGTTCTCAGAAAATACTGTCTGCAAAGAAGTTGCACTTTCACACAGTCAACATCTCCCTAATGGAATTAGGATCATCCTTATTGTAGCAGCTTCATTGTTCAAATTCCTTGTTCCAAAGCAGAGAAGTTAGACCGGTTATATAAGGAGCATTTGTGTAAGACAGCAACACAGGCACAAGTTTCAACTAGTGAAGTGGGAAGAAATTTTCGGGGATAACCAAGGAGGTTGTAGGTTTATTAGATGCAAAGAGATGAACAAGGTCCTAAAGTATTACAAAAGGAGAAGCACAAAAGAAAAATATGGGTATTGCGAGGCTAATTGTGGTATTTAAGATGTTTTTAATGTACATGAGGCCTCTGAGGACTGGAGCACTATTAGCAAAATGAAGCTGAGAAAGCAAAAATATACTTCATATTCCAAACAAAATGTTTCACATCAAACATGGTATGACGGTATGAGCTAAGTAGACAACTATACATTACATAGGAGGCAAAATAGTCTAAAACAAATATGCTAAAATTACATTAAGCAAAGTAGGTCTTCACCTTCAAGGTAGAACATTGGAAGATTCAAAATAGCACCACCCTCCAAGAAAGCTAGCCTAAAATGAGTGTCATCAACCTCTGTTGCATAAAAATATGAACCATATAGTATAATTAGCTAAAAAATAGAAGTGTACACACATACCTAAAGCACAAAACATAGAAATATCTGGGATGCATACCACCAAGATAAGTGTGTAATGAAGTCAAACATGTGTCAAAAGTAAAGCCACCAGACTGGCCAGCCCCTCCATCATCTCCGCGCCTACTGTGATGGAAACAATCATATAAAACACAGTATCTTTCACTAGAGCAAGAGCTTATCGATAAAATAAGGCTAACATGAACAAAGTAGAGATTTGCTTCAATATGAACTGGCGACAGTCAACCAACACAAAAACTTTGTATTATCATAGATGTAATACGATATATACATTGAGAATTCTCATCGAAGTAATAAACTAAAGATGGAGCTAATCCATGAAAATATGAATACTTATTATAATGAGAAAAAGGCTGAACTCTTGCCTAAATAGTTCCCCAGAATGAAACTTTTAAAATGCATGTGTTTCAATTTGGGCTTGGTTTTCTTATGATCAATAAAAATCAAAAGTTCAATCTTAACCTGATTAGCCACATAAACAAATTAACCATACATATAGTTGAACTAAAATAACCTAGCAATCACCACCACAGAGAAATAGTCATCATTTTCGCAAAGCAAGTCCAAAGAGAATTCGTCATTAAATAGATGGACCTCCAAAAAATCAAGTATCAATTGAAGAAACAATAGAAAAGAAATAAGTAAAATTTGACCTTATTGGCAAGCACAAACACTTCCAGATTGCTGGAATTATTCGCAAAACTTAAAAATTCAATCTCCCAATTTAATAGTACACATTTCTGCCAATTCATTAAAAGAAATGCATATTTCAAGCCAGCTTTTGGATTTTTCAAACACACAGAATTCATTTAAACGCATGTAACAGTGTGAAGCCGCAAGAGAGAGAGAGAAAAAGAGAGAGCGAGAAAGAGAGAGTATTTCAGTATTTTAATTATTTCATATTTTTGGTTGAAAAGCGATACAATGTAACAATTTCGTCAATTTCATGTTGAGAGAGAGAGTATTTCATAATTTTAATCAGTTCATATTTCTCGTTGGAGAGAGAAAAATTGTTGAAATTTCGTCACTTTTATGTAGAGAGAGAAAGAGTTCATGTCATTGATGTCCTACATTCGGCTGATAAAATGGGGCTATTTCGTTACTTCATCGTGGAGAGAGAGAGAGAGAGTCGCCTTGAATTGTCAGAAGAAGAAGAAGCGAGAGAGACAGAGAGAGAGACTCACCTTGAATTATCAGAAGAAGAACGGTCGAGATCTTCATCAACCTCTTCAACCTCTAATTCCTCCGTTTCCAGCTCTCTGATACGCTCAATTTGAAGCCGCTCGTTATCCCAAAACCTCTCATCATCCATTGTTCGTCTAAATAGAACAGAAAAACACCATTGATTTTCAGAAGGAGCTTCGAAAATGATCTGAAATCTAGGGTTTCGAACCAGATGAAACCTTGCAAAAGATGATCTCCATGAAGCTGCAGAGAAAAAATTGTCCCCAATTTAAGCGAAACATTTCTTTTGGGAGTGAAGGAGCAAGACCCAAATACATGAACACGTCATTGAACAGTGTGGTTATAGGGTTATCACTGTTTACTATAAAATTGGACGGGGATCGAATGATGTTCGTGAGACGATGATGGAACCCACACCCAACACATCACCGTTCAAATCAATGACGGTGACGGTCACAAGAACTATGTGATGATCAAAAGCCATTTATCACCGTACATCAGTCAATTCAATGGTGTTGAATTGAGTGGATCCTACCGCAAAACTTATCAATGAATGTTGCATCCCTACGTTTTTTTGTCACCTGATCAACGGACGGTGATAAGATGCAAGATCATTGAATATTTTTCTTCTTGGGTAAGTGAGAGGGGGAGATCATCATTGTCAGTTGCCATAGTCCATGTGTATCGTACTACATTTTGCCAAAAGCCTTCCTACTCCCGCTAGTGTATACTATCAATTTATTCCCTCGTGTAAAACACATCCTAGGAATACCTTTTAGATCTCAAACTTTTGGGATGTAGTCTCTACAATACATAACCTAATCTCAATAAAAAAATTAAAAAAATAAACATTCTATGTACTAAAAAATAATGCCCACATATTGAGAAGAGACTGTCAAATTTTGAAGAGCTAGATATAAGTGTCACATAACTCAAATTTAAAATTGTTTTTTCTTTTATAAATTATCATCTAGTAGTTCTTATATAGTTCCCAAAATTTTAAACCAAATTTATCTTTCTAAATGAGTGTTTTCCACTAGAGAGTAGATGTATAGTAATGCTACTACATGAGCGTGATATACATCCTATCATATTTTCGACCCGGTTTTTAAGCGGAAAAGACCGTGCGTAGAAATGCTTATTCATAAATCCATTTTTTAGATGGATTTTTTTACTTAATTTTTAAGGATACCTAATCTCTACCATGGAGATCATCAATATGAAAAATAAGTAAACTTTAAAAATAAAAAATAATAATTTAAAATTTTAAAACAAAAAATATAATTTTAGTAAGATAACATTTAGACAGCTAGTTTCCATTGTTTTTAGATCGAACGCCTACTTGCATCCATCTTTAAGATGGTTGCTTTACACTTTTTGGACCGCATGTGTAGTCATGCGGTCTAGTCTACATAAAACAATTTTCCTTATACTTTTCTCAATGTAATTTTCCCTATTTTTGGAAAATATATTGTAGTGTCTCGATAAATGTTTGGGTGCCCTTAGTATAAGGTCTAAGCGGAGCTGCGCCTCAAAACCAAATAATGCATTTGATGGGCATGCATTATATGGTTTTGAGGTGTTTATTTTAGGAAAAATATCATATTATCTCCTATTTTATATATATATATATCTCATCAGAACCAATAATTGAAATATTACTTATAAGTAAAAAGACTCCATCTTTTCTATCTTCCAACTCCCTAAAGCCTTTTGATCATATATTATTGACCTCAACAACTTATGAAATGACTCTATCTCTCTCTAAAACTCCCTCTCTCTCTCTCTAAAACTCCATCTCTGTCTCTCACATCATCATCTTTCTCTCTCAAAACTTTATCTCTCTCTAAAACCCAAACTCTATCTCTCTCTCACACATCATCATCTCTCTTTCAAAACTCCATCTCTCTCCTAAAAACTCAAACTTCATCTCTTTCTCTCCCTAAAACTTCATCTCTCTCTAAAACCCAAACTCTAACTCTCTTTAAAA